CTGATGCACCTTTTAATAGTTTTCCTTTGTATGGAATGGAATACATGTGTCACCTAAAAAGCAGCAATGAGACTCCTATATCTATTTGTTTCAAATAGATAGGCTATAAATGACAAATATTAACAGGAGGAGTTAGAGGGAGTAGGGCTGGTAAAAGGGTGGCCATCGCCACAGGGAGTATTAACCTTAAATCATTTCAGCTCAAGACCGTAGAGAGGGGAAAGAATTTCTATTGCCAAGTAACAAAATGTAAAATCCTAGAAAAGGGCTTGGGCAGCCTGGTTCAGATCAAGTGTCCAGCCCTGAACCAATCATAGTGGTCATAAAAACATAATACATATAACAGTCCAAACCCTTGGGGGTATATAGATACATACATATGTATGTGTGGGTGGGGGAGTCTTTTATCAGAAAAGTGGGTGTGTGAAGAAAGAATTCTTTGTGAGGAAACAACTTCAATAGGAAGAAACAATAGCCACCATAGGCCCAGGACACCTATTGTAAAATTTTATGTCATTGATTTTTTTTCTCCAGCTCTTTCTTCTGGAAATGTCAATATTTTTATTTTACCCTCATTTTTCATTTAACACTTAATAAATATTTATTAAGTGTTAGCAATTTATCAATCATATAGATAGGCCAGAAAGACTGACTTAATCTCTACTCCTATTAAATTTATTAAATGTACAGTCTAATGGAGAAGGGGTACTATCAAACACCTAATCACCATGTGCTGAGTGGCACAAAGAAGATGTTCAGGGTATAACGGGAACTTATAATAGACAGAGCTAAACACTGTGCACCCAAAAGAGTGGTAATGAAAATAAAGCATCTACCACAAAAGTATCGAAGCATATCTTGGAGAGCTCATGTTATCTAAAATATAAGTAAAAGATAGTCATCCTATTACACTATCATATATTTCAAAGGAAAAATATAAACATCCTGTGGCTCAGAAAAGATGGCCGCGATGCAAACTCTACCAGGAACAGCCAAGAGGACTCTTGTCTCTGATCACATGACACTGCTGGCAGCAGGCCCCTGAGAGAGAGATATTCTGGAATAGTGTTCTCTTTTACACACTCACAGGCAATTCAGTAGGGTATCTTTCTTGTTGAGAAAATGTAACAGTCTAAAAATTATATTTTGGGAGCTTTTTAAAAGATAATTGGCAGCTGCAAATGAGATAAACTTACATTAGACTATGCATTTTTCTTTAAATTGAAATCTGTGACTTACTGAAGTTTAACAATCTACCAAATTTTCCAAAATCAACATGTTCAAATGAGATATGGATGGGTAGGGGGTGAGGGAAGATAGAACAAATAAGAGAGAAAGAAAATGCATACATTTAAGTTTGCTGCACTGGAGCACATACTTCCCACACTCATATAAATCTTTGAAGCTGGGTAGTACAGTATTCTGTGTTAAATGCATTTTATGGGAATTTGAGGAGGATTTAGGTAAAGGCTGCTCCAATAAATGATTTACCAGCTCTAATAAAACATCAAGGAAATTGTTCAGATTGTATGTCAGAGCATTTAAAACACAAGTTTATAGAGGTCTCAGCAGCCCCCATATCCTCAAATCTGGTTTAAAAAGAAATGTTTATAGTGGTTAATTATCCTATATTACTTTTTTTAAATGGTAGCAATCTCAAGAGAAGTAAGAGAGTGGAAGTAAATAAATATGTATGACAGTCAAGGGGGTTGGGCAGAGAGAGAGAGAGAGAGAAGCTGACTGATCACTCATTTGTCCTTTTATTCAATCATTCAATAAATATTTACTGATTGCCTATTATAAATCAGAATCAGGATTCTGTAGTTAGGGCTCGCACACTCAGGAGGGAGCAGACAAGATGGGTTCCTGCCTGCCTATAGCTTTTGTTTAGTGAGAGAACACAGAAATAAGCAAATAAATGAAATAAATATGAAAGCAATTTAAGTTGTGATAAGTGTTTTAAAACAAACAAGCAAGGTGATGAGAAAGTAAATAACCAGAAGTGGGTACTACTTTATGTAGGATGGTTAGGAAAAGACTCTTTGGGGAGATGAAAATGATACTGAGACCAACAGTATGTGCAGCCAAACATAATACTAAGAACTGAGAGAACATTCCAGATAAAGGAGGCATCACATATGAAAGCCCTGATGTGATAGAGCTTGGTGTGTTTGAAGAACAAAAAGTGAGAAATCATTCTAGGGTGAACTGTGCTATCTATTTTAACCTTTGGAAAAGACATTTACCTCAAAATGTATTATTGTTGATGTGAATTATTATTGGTTGCCTTCATTAAAAATGTACATCTACCAATTGCTGTACAAGCTATCTTATATGCATTATCTCTCAGTTTTCATGATACAGATATTATTATTCCAGTTTGATACAGGCCAAAACAGCCTCAGAGAGTTTAAGCAAATTATTCAAGGTTATAGATTACTGGCAAAACCAGAATTCATACTTGAGTTTATCTACGAAGCCTACAGTCTTTCATATCTTTTAGCTTGTTTGTTTTGTTTGACAAATATTTGTGGAACCCTATGCTAAAAACGAATGAAGAAAAGCACAGTAGGTTGTTTCTAAAGATGGCCAGACAATATATCTTATCCCAACATGCTCTTTGGCAATGTCACATTTCTACTCTGGCATCAAGAGGTGGAGACTATTCTTCCTCTCTCTGGCCCTGTGACTTATTTTGACCAACAAAATATGGAATAAGTCACTGTATAACTTTGAAGGCTTGGCCTTGAGATACCTGCATCTTCCACCTTCTCTGCTTGGAAGGATGCTACTTGGAACCCAGGCACCATGCTGTGAGGAAGCCCAAGCATCACTGGAGAGAGGCACACATGGAAAAGTGAAGATCTCAATTGAGAGCAAAAACCAAGGCCCCAGATCTACAGTCCCAAGCAAGGCAACCCAGATAGACCCAGTTATGTGAGCGGTCTCAGCAGAAGCCTCAAACGTGGTGGAGCAGAGACAAGTTTTCCATGATGTGTCCTGCCTGAATTTCCAACCCATACAATTGTGAGCAAATGAGAAAGTTGTTTCGAGCCACTAAGCCTTCAGTGATTCATCGTGCAACAATAAAAAACCAAAACATGTGAGAAACCTGGCTCAGTGAGAGACAAGCATGTGAACATCTTTAAGATAATGTGTGTCATGAGAGAAAAACAGAGAAGCATCTTAAATCTGTATAGAGCAAGGGTGAGCATACTTACTTGGTGAAGAGCTAGACAGTAAATATTCTAGACTTTGTAGGCTGTGTTTTGTTTTTGTTTTTTTTTGTTTTTTTGTTTTTGCTTTAACTACTTAGTTCTGCCATTGTGGAGGAAAACAGCCAAGACAATATGTAACCAAGTGAGTGTGTCTGAGTTCCATTTAAACTGTTTTTACTAAGACAAAAGAGGAACGAAATTTTGTCTGGGAGCTGTACCTGCCAATCCCCGGACTTGACTTAGAGCATGAGGAAAAGCTTACGAAAAGAATAATGCTTCAGAGTTGCAGTTTAAAGGATCTATCAGAAACGGAAGCTCTGAGAAACTCTTAAACTTTTTGATTCTGTCTGTAAAATAATAATGGCACTGTGAAATTACATACGCTGGACTCTGAAAGATCACCTCAACAGAGGTAGGGAGGCCAACAGAGAGGTGAGTCATCAGAGAAAACCTACGAGGTAATAGGGACAAATGGAGAATCTGGGAGCCTGAGAGCTTAATTGAGTGCTTCTCCAGTCCAGGAGAACTTCGAACAGGGATCAAGAACTTAACACATGACTGAACAGAAGCTTCATCTTTCTCATTGGCACACCATAGTCGGTACCTGGTATCTACTCGGGTAGTTATTTTACTGAATGAAATTTAGTGTGTACTTATCCAGGGAGCTTGCCATTTTTTTTTTTTTTTTACTTTAAAATTGCATTTACTGTATATTTTTTCCTTTCTAGAAGAGGAATGTATATTTCATGTCTTCTAGGCTCTTTGGCTCCTCTTCCTGCCCGATGTTCCTTAAGAACAGACTTGTATCTCTTGATCTAGAGAACTCAGTGTTTAGCCTGGAGACCACACTTCAGCTGCTACAGAAAAGCATTGGTGAAAATATTTAGGCTTTTAAATTTAAGCAAAAACCAGTAGGACTTGCAGAAAAATGTTACTGAATAAAGAAAACTTGAGTTGATATCATATCTTCCCAATGGTTTTAGGATGCAAAAATAAGAGAAAATTCTTTGAGAACCAAGTCGTAAGGCAGATAAGCATCCAGTGAAATAACCATTTAGGGTATGAATCTTGAGGTGGGTAGGGAAGCAGTGGTTTCAAACAGATGACTTTGACTAGCTACTCTGTCTCTTCTCCTTTTCTAGGTTACTCCACATGGCACTTACTCTTATTCCTTCTCCCACCTTTGATGAACCCCAAAATTGCAAGATTCTGTTATCATTACTTCTGAGAAACTCCACTGTTTGCTCTTTTACATATTTTTTCATATTTGTTATATGTATGCTTGCATAGACAGTTATATCTGTACATACATCACCAGGTAGAGAGAGCAGTAACTATGATCTGCTTAAATCTCAATTGAACTAAGGTTTGTAGAATTTGTTAACCACAGCCATCCTTGTAATTCCATCTCTGGACACTGCCCACACCAAATTTTTACCATTTCTCCACTGAGGTCTTCTCCCCAAGATTTGGCTCAAACTCTTTCTGACAATTCTTTCTCATTCTCAAGCAAACTTGGCCAACATTTTCTCTATGTGTATATGTGGCAATGTGTGCATTTATAAAAATAGTGTTATTACATCACATTAATATTTTTAAACATTCATTTACTTCATTGGACTGTGAACTTCTTCAAGTCAAAACACATATTGTATAGCCTGTAATAGGCATACAATCAATATTTGTTGAATAAATGAATAGTCAAAGAATAGAGTGAGTAAAGACTTCTTGAATATAATAAATGTCAATTTTAAAATAGAAAGACAAGATATAGTTACTTACCAAACTGAAAATCTGTGTTTTTCCAGTTCCTCCAAGTAAGATATATCCTGTGAATAATCTTCAGTTTCTCCAGTTCTCCAAGCAGTTGATTTTTCCTTCACAGAACAATCATTCAGGCTTTCTCCCTATCAGTGAAATTTAAGAAATGGAAAAAATAAAGTGTTTCAGCAGATAGCAGATAAGAAGTTTACCTAGTTTCAGTGACACTTTCCCCAGAATAACAAAGAATCATTGATCCTACAGAAACATAGTTAGACATGGTTTTTGCATTGAAATTATTACTTTATATTCCAGATTCTCTCATTAAATTCTCATCTTTAATTGCAGATTGTGTCATGTTCACGTTTTTATTATCTCATATGAAATAGCTTTTATAAATGTTGTTAGAGTTGTTTTTTTTTTTTTTAAGAAACATGGTCATGGTATTTGTATTAAGTCAGGACTATTGGTTGCAAATAAAGGAATTTCAGCTTGAACTTGCTTTCAGCAAAAAGAAACTTGAAGTAAGGTTTGAACTACCAACTTATGGAGAAGGTAGAAAGGCAGCTGGATTTCAGAAACATGGGAGCCAAAGAATCTAAGGCCACCAGGACTCTTTGTTCATCTCTGCTCTCTGCTTCAGCCGGGCACTTTATTCTAACATTGTCGCCAAAGTTCCTGAGTTCCACAACCTGTGACTCCCAACAACATAAATTTAAACTCAGGACCACACAATGTCTTTAGAGGTAATTTACTAGAACTTGAGAGAATTATGTGGTCCATGATGATGAGTCCAGCAAATACATTGTCCCATTGGAGAAACTGAGCCCTATAGTTCGACTAGGGATTCTTAGGAGTCCTATTATGGTGAGAAATGGAAAGAGAGAGGAGCTAACCTAACTAAGCTCTTCTCTCTTCCACTAAAAAAGTTCAGTTTTTAACTGTTTATATATTAAGGTCTCCTGTAAAATTTTATTACAAAATGCTGCTGCAAAAAGTCACTCAAAGAACACTAGCCTACAGAAGAAGAAAATTAGGCATGATTTGTATTTATAAGGCAGTTGTGTTAAAACTCTCCTATCCTTTTCTTTATATTCTTCTCAAATGTTTTTAGGTATCATTTATAAGAGGATAGTTGCCTGGAATTCCTTGATATCAGTTTATATAAGTTTTTTTCATCTCAACTCTGTAGCTGAAATATTTTGAAATTGCAAAATGTTGCTTTGGATTCACAGGAAAACCTTAGAGTGAAACTCAGGGGAAGTAAGTGTGTCATCAAACCTCTAGTGAACTCAACTCATTTCTTTATTATAAAATTGTTTTGATAACCTTAAAAACAAAATCCAGTTATGACAACCATCAATTTAAGGCACCTTTTGTTATGGTCCTTTTTATCTTTCTCAGCCTCTATAGCTCCTGTACCAATAAAGGTGTTTTTTTAATTGATTTATTTAATTACTTTCAAGTATACAGTACATTGGTTAGACATCTATATAGTCGGTAAAACAATCCATATGTTTAATCACAGTATTTAACGTTGGTATTTTTAATTACTCTATTCCTGAGTAAATTAGAGAGTGCCAAAATTCCTTTACAAATGAGAGCTTTGAATTGTCCCAACTAAATATATTTGATTTGCATAACTTACTAGACTGCTTAAAATATGTTTTCATAATTATTTGAATTTTAAATTTGATGACATTTCTTCATGAGTTTCTTAGATACTTTATTTAGCCTCACTTGATAATAAATAGAAATTGCCACCAAAATTACACCATACATTTGTTTTGTTGACCCAAGAGCCTGGTTTGTTAAAGTATAGATTTTCCATGATAGATTGCATTAAATTGCTTTGTGTTTGGTTAACCTGTGAATATCTACCTCGATTATTCAACTAAATTTATGGTGGAAATGGGATGTAGTACATTTCTTTCTCTTTCACAGCACCTAACATGGTAACAAACACATAGTAGACACTCAAGAAATAGTTATTAGAGGTTATTTTGTTAAGTACTTACATTACAATAACAACAATGAATTTTATCTCCGGTTGCTAAATTACAAAGAACACACCTGTGAATTCTAAAAAGAGAAAAATTTTCTGAATCTTTGGATTTCCTTTAAAGAACATCTAAGTAAAATGTGTTAAAAATTCCTTCATATAGATGGTTTTGGAATACATAAGATCATGGAAAATAGAAATGAGCCCAAAGAGGAACAAACATACACAGAAATATGAGTTTTAAATCCAAACGGAGGTAAATATGTGCAGGGAAATTCTCAAGTAAGTACCAGGGTGTATGAGTCTGCTCACATGGAGGAATCAAAACAATCTGTCAACCACAAATTTATATCTTGAATCTATACTTGAGAAATAATGTTTTAACTAGGATATCATCAACATTTAAAAGACAGAAAATAGATTACCTGGCCCATTACAACTCTAATTCCTGTTCATACCTTGAACCCAAACAAAATCATCATTTAAAAAAAAAAAAAAAGATTCTTCCAATAGCAATGTCTCTAGAAAGATGAATGTCTATACTTTAAAAAAGAAATCGGTGGTACAAATTTGTTCTGGAATGTCACATTTTATGTTACATGCATGGTTACTCATACTCCAACTCATTGCGGAAATCAACAGGAAATATTTAAATGTAAACTGATAAAATTCAGATTATGATTTTCAAGTTGATGAACTAAAAATTTGGCTTATGAGGGTTGCCATTCAAGTACTAAATTGGTTAGGAAACAATGAATTAGCACTCTTTCAAACACAACATAAAACGAGAGCAAGAAGTGTTTTAAAGAATTTTGAAAAACTAAAATGTAGAGTGTTATAGTGAAAGGAGCCAATAAGGGATGGTTAGAAGACATTCGGCTAAGCCTTCTCAGTATTTTTAAAACTTAGATTATTTAAAGTTCATAAATTTAAGTTTTTTTAACCTGAAAAAATGAAGATAATATTTGTCCTGCACAGAATAGAATTTTTATGGAGATAAACTGAGATAACAGCTATAACAATTTTCTAGAAGTGGGAAGGATAGCACTTATAATGATATAGAATATTAAGTATATAAGTAGCATCTGCCACAATGCACTATTTAGTTAATCAACATTAATCAATGAGATATTTAACATTTGTCCTTGTACATTTATTACAACATTTCTATGAAGTTGCTAAGTAGGAAATATTATAGGAAGACAATATATATTTAGTCTCAAAGTTGTCTACCTCATGACATGATAAGGCTGTTTCATTGTGTTACATGGTAGGAAGCAACTCCTAGGGTCCCTATCTTGTTGTTCAGAATTTTTTTTGCCCCTTAGCCCTAATTCCTTCCATAGAACAATTGGTTAATGGAGAAGGGTGATAATGATGGGACCGGTGAGAGGGCAAGCCTTTGCGTGGAGAGAGAGAGTTTGCAGTTCACAGGCCAATGACAGTGCAGTGGAAAAGCATTATGGTGCTAGCACAATTAAGCTCCACTTAGCAGCAGCATTTTCCCCTCCAAAGTCCTTACAGGATCTTTGTGCGGGGCTCTGAGGAGCATTGTTCATCTGCCCATCTGGCCAGATGAAGAGCAAGGGGATTGTTTCATCAAAAGAGAGAGCCTTAGAAAGAGGAAATAGTGAATAAAGGGCTGAATCCTGAGGATTACAAATGCTTTTGAACTACCCTGGGAAGATCAGAAGTAAGCAGTACGGACGCTTTAATGCCTGCCCAAGTGATGTGCACCATTTTTTAAGACGGCAGAAGAGGAAGGTTTGGGGTGAAGGTACTCTGCTGAGAGGCTTGTGTTAATAAGATCACAGAATAGCAAGTCACAGATAACAACAACAAACACCAGGTGCATCTGAAGTATCAAAGCAAATAAATATGACATCATGTTCGATTCCATCAGTGCTATTATTATGATCTAAAAAAAAAAAAAAAGCATTGCTCTAAATTAAATCCAGTCTAAATCCTGAGACTATTCAGCAAGAACATTATTTCTTCTTTCTTTAATTCATGTCTGATGTGTTTACCAGATAATTTTTCAGAACAGGCTTTCCATTAGCAGTACCCAGAGGTATCACTGGCTGTGTAGCTCACGATGTACCTGAAAAGATCCCTTAATTAACTAACACCCTGGCTTCTGTTTCTGCCCTCTGGAGAACAATTAGCATTTCTGGCCATTTAAGACCACAAATTCCAATTGTTCTCTGGTCATCTGTTATTTGAAAACTGATGCTTCACATGTGATGTTCAACATTAATTTTATTTTCCCACAGCCACCCTATGAATTGTATAGGTTAGAGTTTTTAATATCAATTGAAGATACAAATTAAGTCCTAATACCATAAGAAGAAATAAAAAAGAAAACACTTAAATTGGAATAGGAAGTCTCAGATGTAGATTTAGTAAGTGTTTTAGTAAGTGTTTTAACCACAGTACTCAGCCGCTTGTAACTTGAGTTGCTTGTAACTTTTGGCTTTGTCTTTCTACAACAACCATGTTACTGAGAAATATTCCCGACAGGCACAAGCTGCTTCCTGAAGAAAGTCAAACTTAAGACACCTTCCCAAAGTGCCTGACCCCCAGGGAATAGCTTACTCTCCCAAGCAATTGACTCCGCTTTAGGAATATAATATTAAAAATAAAATGAAAAAGAGAAATCCTTAATTGAATGTGCAAACTCAGAAAATATAGAAAAAACTTTGGGGGTTTTCTAGGTAATTGTGTTCTCACCTTACCTACTTCAGCCTTTTTCGTAATCCCGAAGTTTAAGCCCAACAATTGGTATGAGAATTTTACAAAAATATTTAAAAGGCTAATATTAGATACATAATATCCTAGAAGTCTCATGGGCATATCCTTTCTCTATTTTCCCAAAGAGTATACATAACGGTATCTAATACATAATAAGTATAAAAAAATGTGATCTTTTTTTCTTTCCAGCAAATGGTTCTTTATTTTCAAATTCTAGCTTTTCGATTAAGGTTATAAGACTTAAGAAGTAGAAAACATATACCTGGCTGAGAGGAGAAAGCAGTGACACATTTTTAAAGTATAATTTCATGACGGATACAAATATGGATTCTAGAAATAGACAGTTTGTGTTCAAAGTCCAGCTATACACTTATTAACAAAGTTATTTTGGCTAACTTACTCCATCTCCCATGCCTTATTTTTGTCACCTGTAAAATAAGGAAAATGATGATAATAATATTTTCTATTCCATTAGTTTGTTGTGAGAATAAGATGAGTCATTTGATGTAGAGGACTGAGAACATTTCCTGGAACCTAGTAATTTTCTAGCATTCAGTAAATATTATCTTTCATTGTTGCAAAGTTCACTAAATTTTTTATTGCTAAACTTTCTTTTTTAATACAGGCTGCAGTATGAAAACAACCACAATTGTAAACGCTATAAGTCGTCATCTGGACATTAAAAAATCAGTCATTTCTTTAATCAGATACTGGTCCACAATTACAGATGAAAAAAAATTACTTTAAAGATAAGGACATGAAAGTTGTCTCTGTGACCTATATATTTATTTAGTCAGGATAGTAGAGGATTGAGATAATGATTCAGACCATTTGTATGGGAAGGGGCAGGGGTAGAGGGCAATCCTTTTACCTCAACTTTCTATCCAAGCTAAGTTTTCTGAATACTTAATACTCAGTCACTTGGTCTACATAGATAAAGATTTTTGAAATGGTTAGGTATCTAAAAACCACATCCAATAATACCAATAAACTTAATTTAACCAACATTTGGAAACACAAGCTACATAATTTATATAAATTTATCAAGATAGTTTCTGGACCGACTTCATGGCAGCCATGATCATGCCAAATAAAGCACAGTAGTACAATCAGCACATTTTCTAATCATCCTGCCAGGGCTGGAAAAAGGCATGTAGACTGATTAATTTAACTAAAGTCTTCAACAGCTTAAAGAAGTCTGATTCGGATGTAATAAAAATTTATTGGCATTACTGATTTCACAAACGTCAGCTGCTTTAGCAGTTCCCGTACTTCAAAACCTGCTTTGAAGACCAAATTACTTTCTACCTGGATATATATTTTAAAAAATCATAGTTAATAATCAGAGACTGCTGTTTTCATGGTCCTTTTAAAGCCAACTTCTACAGCCTTCATCTTACCTTATTGTGTAATTCCTGGTCTTCTTTTAAGAGATCGATATCACAGTCCATAGGGCAAGAATCAATTTTATTAGAAATGCTTCCTAGGGTTAAAAACAAAAGGTGCAAAAAATGTATTACAGATTTCACTTCAGAGGATATATAGGCTTACACTGCAGAAATTTAAGAGCTTATATAAGGCCTGGCAAGTGGGGGTAAAAGAAAAAATTCTAAGGAGGCTCTAAGCTGTTTTACACTCCCAGTTTTAATTCAGTCAATGTATAAACTTCAAGTAGATCTCTACTCTTGGCCACACCACAGGGCTGCAATTTACAAGTAGCAGCTGTGTCTGATCTGCTTTCCTACCCTCATCTGAGTAGGATTCTCTATTATCAGCTATGATTCTGGGATCAAGATTTCAAAGAAACTTCTTAGTACCTCCTAAAAATATTTCAGTATAAAACCTTGAGACTAGAGAGTTTTATTCCCTGCCAGTACTCAGTGCTTCCCACCTGAGACACCTTTTTCCTGTCTTGCATGACTTGTTTTATATCAGTTTCTGAGCCTCAGCACTATTGACAGTTTTGATTGGCTAATGCTTTGTTGTAAAAGCAGTCCTCTGTTTTGTAAGATGTTTAACAGCACCCATGGCCTCTACCCACTAGATGCCAGTAGTACCTTCCACTTTCCCACCCTTCCCCAAGTTGTGATAACCAAAAAATGTCTCTAAACGTTGGCAAAACACCCCCAATTGAGAACAACTTCTCTTCATCAAAAACTTGTTCATTTTTGTTTCTCCTGTAGTGTCTAGCACAATGCCTGAAATAGAGTTCAACAAATGTTTCTTAAATTATAAACAAACAGAGATATCACATAAGCATGTATTACTGCAACTCTATGACTCTCAAGTCATTGACTTGACCTCTCACTTCAACCTGTATGCCAAGGTTTATCCCCAGGGTCTTGTGACAAATATTCTGACCCAGAATCTGCTAGAGTTTGGAGTACCTCAGCTGAGCCACAGCTTTGACAAGGAGATTGACTCAGTATCTTTTTTTAAAAAATATACATGCATCATATACCACAAGCAGCCAAAGCCTTGCTGCCTGTCCTCTTCTCTCCCTCCAGGGTTTGAATGCTGCCATCCCCTGACCTTTGGAATTGTCCTATGGACATTTTTTAATAAGATTGCCATAATATAAAGTTTTTAGGACATTGTGTCCATGTCTGCAACCTTTGGAAAACTTTTTGTCCCTTAAGATGACCCAGCCAGTCTCTTCTCCCCAACCTAAGTCTGTGTGGATCATGCATTTGGAGCAGCAATGATTTTATTGTATTTTCTGACTCCGCTCCCAGGGCACCATACCAAACTAAAGTCAGAAACCGAAAAATATCCTTTTCCTTGGAGAGTCAAATGGGTCACATGCCCCTTCTGTGAGAACCCTGACAGTTCAGTCTATTGAAATGAAGGTCATATAAACCATTGGAAGAGATTCCTTACTTTGAGTCTAAAACCGAATTCATTGATAGTGAGGTTGATATGGTCAAACTCAAGATCAGAAAGGGAGGAGAATGGAAGGAAGTTATTCCCTGCCAGTACTCAGTGCTTCCCACCTGAGACAGGAAAGCCTTATAATTTAAACTCTCAGTGCACAGTTGCTAGCTAGAAATAACAAATATGAAATAATAATAAAATTTATTATTAGCATTTTCTAAGAACTTCAGATATATTATGCTGTATACACAAACACACACAAAAACATAAAACAAATAAACTGTTAAAAGAGCTATCATTACCCCATTTGACAGATTTGGAAGTTGGGACTTTGATAGATCAAAAAACTTGCTCCAAATCAGACAGTTAATCAGGGAAAAATCTGAAAGTTAGACCCAAGTTCTAGTTGACCTCAAAGCCTATACATTTAACCACTCTATTATATCTTACTTGAGAACCATACCCCATTTTATACTAACACACATTTTTAAACATTGAATAATATATTCATTTCTCTTGCTGCTGGAACAAATTTCCACAGACTTAGTGACTTAATATCCATTTATTATTTATTAGCTAACAGTTTTTGCACGTCAGAAATCTGGGCATAGATGGCTCAACTGGTTCCTCTTCTTAAAGTTTTATAAGATCAAAATCGATGTATCAGCCAGGGCTACAGTTCCCATCCAGGTCTTGGAATCCTCTTCTAGGCATGCTGGTTCTTGGCAAAATTCATTTCCTTCTCATGCTTTTCATGTGGTCCCTTTACCTTCAAGCCAGCAAGAGCAGGATGTACCCTTCTCATGCTTTGAAGCTCTCCAACTTTTCCTTCTGTCTCCTGTTCTGCTGCCAGCCTGAGATAGTTTTTTCCTTTAAAGGCTCACGTAATTATATTAGGTTCACCTAGATAATCTCCTTCCTGATGAGTACAGGTTTAGCGCTTAGACATTTTTGGGAAACTATCTTAGAAATTCTGTCTACTATGAACAATTCCTGATTTAACGGAATTTATATTAGATGTTAAAATGTAGTAATGTTGTGCCTACTCAAATAATAAAGGCCCTACCAAAGAAATAGTCTCCTAAAAGTCTTTATTTTTTCTTTATTCTAACGTAAAATGAGAACCTTTCTTTGCTCTAAAATTTATCTTCCTATACATAAAAATGTATATAGTAAGTATATATACATTGATGATTATTAATATACATTTTATATAGTTATATATACTATGTAATAAGTATTATACATTTTATGAGTGTACATAATGCAATTGTTTATCAAATTGCAATCATACCATATATGCAGTTTACATCCCTTTTTACACTTATATTTCTTACCTGTTACTAAATATTCCTCAAAGTATTATTTTTAATCAGTGCATCATATGGCTTTATTTAACCAGTGTCCTTTGATTGGATATTTACATCACGTTGAACAAATTTTACAAAAATATTGATGTTTATCTGTGTTTATTTTCACAAAATGAGTATCTAAGGAATATTAAATTAAAAACTCAGAATTGACAAAAAGAACTACCAAAATTCAAAGTCCAGCCAACAATGCATGAAAATATCTTATTATCCATGTGCTTACCAAAATTTACCATATTTTTCAGTTTTGCCTGCTTGATAAATAAAATAACAATATTTCATTGTGATTTAAATTTTCAATACTATAATTCTAATAAATTTGAGTATTTTTGTTTGCTGAGCATTTATGCTTTTTATGTTGTAAATTCCCATCCCCATTTTTTTCAGTTGGAATATTTCACATATTCTTTAGAATTTTTATCTTTCCATACCAAAGATATCAACTTTTTGCTTGACACAATGGTTCAAAATATTTTTCTACTTGTACTGTGACTTTTAATTTCTTTGAGTGTATGTGAATGTGTGTAAGATATAGTTTTCAATATTAGATAATCATGTTGCTTATAAGCTTACAAAATCTTTCCACTCTATATAAATGTACATAAACAAACTATAAGTAAACAAAGAACTCATGTGTTTCTTGCATGATTTTCTTTCACATTTTCCCACTCCCATTCAGTTAAGCAACCATGACACCACTGAGTTCTAAAACCCAGGCTCAGACATATAAAACAGAACAACCTTTCATTTCTCTCAAAAAGCTCCTTCCCTGAATTCCCTATTTCTTTACATTACTTTGCTGTTTTCCAAGACATAGAGACTCAAAACCTCTCTGTCTTCCATGCATTTTCCTTCTTTATTGTCATTCACAGTTAATCATTTGCCACATTCTCTTATATCTCATTAAGAAGTTCTCTTGCCATAACCCTGACTTAAGCTTTACTCACTTTCCCAACTCCACGTGTCCAGGCAGATAGATAGATAGACATACACACAGATAGACAGATAGATAATGATAAATATAGGTAGATAAGATAGATTAGGTAGATAGACAGATAGATAAATGAAGACTCAACAAATAGAATCATGTTTTTATCATGTAATAAAAAATCATGGTCATCTTCTCTATAAGTCATAAAATATACATCTAACTACCTTTTACTTAAAATGGATTGTTTCCCTTGATCCTCCTTCACATATTCCATCCATAACCCCTACCACCATTCCTTCAGCCTGCCCCAAATAACCCACTTTATTTACTCTATGCTCATTTCACCAGATATAAACATGCACACGCTTATGAACACATGGATACAGATTAATTTTCGCTGTTGCACGAAAAGAAAAAAGAAAATTTTATACTGTATATGACTGCCTACACCCTTTCACATCCAAAAACATGTCATGAAATTCCTTTCGGTTAATAATCATAGGTTTAATTTATTATTTTTTTAACAGTTGATGTGAATAATTTTTTAAATAATTTTTAATTTTTCAATTACTGTTGACATACAATATTATATTCATTTCAGGTATACAACACAGTTATTAGATATTTATATAACTTGTGAAGTGATCACCACAAGAAACCTAGAATTTATCTGACACCATAAAGAGTTGTTACAATATTATTGACTATATCTCCTATGCTACAGGTTACATCCTCATAACTGTGTTGTAGCTATCAATTTGTACTTCTCAATTCCTTTACCTTTTTCACTCATCTCCCTAACTTCTTTCCCATCTGGCAACTATCAAAATATTCTCTGTATCTATAAGTTTGTTTCTGTTTTGTTTGTTCATTTATTTTGTTGTTTAGATTCCATATATAAGCGAAATCAAATGTTTTTTTTTTTCTTTCTCTGTTTGACTTACTTCACTCAGCACAATACCCTCTAGGTCCATCCATGTTGTTGCAGATGCCAAGATTTTATTCTTTTTTATGGCTGAGTAATATTCCATTGTTATATGTACCAACTCTTTTTTATCCATTTGTCTATCAATGGACACATAGGTTGCTTCCATATTTTGGCTATTGTAAATAAAACTGCTATGAACATAGGGATGCATATGACTTTTCAAATTAGTGTTTTGGGTTTTTTCAGATAAATATGCAGAAGTTAAATTTCTGGGTCTTTTGTTGTCTCTTTGTTGTTGCCTTTGTTTTAAGTCCATTTTACTTGATCTAAGAATTGCTACCCCAGCTTTTTTCAAATTTCCATTTGCATGAAATATATTT